CCACAGAACAACCACAATCAAGAGGATCCAGTTGTTCATATGCTTGTCCTCAAAACTTGCATACACCGAACAAAAAGCTCTACAGCCCGGAATCGGCTGTTGTCGTGGCCAACAACACTTCGTCAGCAAGAAATCTCACCTCATCTTACAGCTATTACCACACTTCGAACAGCAGAACGAACACTACATTACCCTACCAATCGTTACATGGCTTATTATCCAGTAGAAATCGTTGTACCTGTTTTCGATGTTCATATATTTCTTTAAAGAATCTGGAAAACTCTCCTCTCCGGTATAGTTCTGGAATGCTTTATGGAAGTTCAGGACCTCCTCAGCCAAATCCTGCAGCGATTTACACTATAAATCAGAGTTATGGATCAAGTTCTCATTATGATCACGCAAGATATAGTCCAAATGCTCATACACACCGTGGAATGCGTCCGTCTTCTTATCATAGGCCGATTTCAACCGATCAAGACTTAAGTACAAATTCGTCAAATTTATATGGTTACAATTCACCAAATAATAAACGTTTTGAAACCGCTCATAATAATAGTTATCGGACGAGATCGCTATTACACGCCCGTAGAGTGGAAAATCAACATACACGCCGTCCAGTCCATTACTAGACGAAATGTTAGACTGGTGAGAACGGAATAATCCAGTAAAATATAAAATCTATACGATTAATCTCGCGAATCAAGCTATTTGAAGATTTTTGATTCTAGGATCAGAATATGTGATGTTTAAGCCTTTAAATTGAACTTTGATTATATATTAAGCAGTATAAAATACTTTTAGACAACAAACTATGTATTCACGCTAAAATCTCAGAAAATTACTTAATAGTATATCGAATTTAATGTTTTGCTTGATTATATGGCTTTATATAATAGAAAACAGGAAAAATTAGACGGCTTACCTGAAATATAGATGCCAAACAAAGTAAGATTTAAATTATATGTCCATGTATATGCATCAAACTGTGTTGCTATAGTTATTAGGTGTTTATCATATCTTTGAAACCGATAATTTACTTATAATTAGCTACGCTATCCCGTTTTTCAAAAACGGGTGCATGAATGGATATTATATTAAGACAGCGCTTTTGAATATAACTAAAACATCAGGTCATTCCTTTCTACTAACTGTTCTGTGGTTACAAATCAATAAATCACTTTCATTCTAGTAGCTCATTGTATACAACATTTCTTGTGTATACTTTACCATTCTCATGCTTTCCTTGGTCTTCATTGTTAGCAACATACACCCTTAGACCGTTTGCATAGCGCGCTCTCGACAGAGCTACGTACAACTGACCATGCACAAAGACTGGGATGTGTAGATAAACACCTACCTTGTCAAATGACTGGCCCTGTAACTTGTGGATTGTCACCGCAAACGAAAGAAGAACCGGAAACTGTCTTCTCTTGAGTATGAATGGCAGCTGTGTCTCGCTCGGTGCCATATCGATCCTTGGTATAACTGCCCTGCTACCTTTCCTGGATCCGGTTACAATAGTAGCTATGATGAAGTTTGTGTGGAGTTCATCAACCACCAGGCGTGTGCCATTGAGCAGGCCATTGGCTGGATCAAGGTTGCGCAATAGCATTATCAACGCACCTCTTTTTAGAACTAACTTGTGCGGTGGCATTCCTGAAGGCTGCTGCTTGTTGAGAAACTCCAACGGATAGTTCGCAACAACATCGTTGTCCTCTGTGACAATAGAGTCTGCACTCGTGTATGTCACTTCGTTGCCGATCATCAAGTCAAGGACTCTGTCATTGATTTCCTTTGCAGCATCGTTGTTTGTTGTGAGTATAGTTCTGTTTGTCAGATCTTCGCTGTCAGCCATGATGGCAACATCACCATATATCTCGTTAACGATGTCATCGCACATATCGTCAACATAGTCGTTGAACAGTCCAAGTGCATCATACGGTCTGTTGAACACACAGATGTATGCGAACAGCTTTCTGATATGGTCAGATGTCTCTGTCATTGCAGCTTCGCCCAGCACGTTCTTCCATTCACTGTCATCCTGCAGAAGATTTCTTGCCCTTGCTGCTTCCTCGAATGTGCCATATACAACATTGTTTGCACTTCTTAAGTCGTCGAATGATGTGGCACCTCTCACATTGAGCAAGAGCATTCTCAGATAGAATCTCTTCTTTTCCTCTGGATTGACCGCATACAATCTTGTAATGACCTTGTCCTCACCCCGCTGTCGCAATACCCATCGACTGTTCTGGTACACATAGTGATATGGAATGTCGGTGTAGAGATATTGTCTGATTATTTTTTACTGCAATTGGTATTATTTTTTTAGAACATGCACAATACCGAAGTGCTTTGTTAAGAACTGTACACGGAGCCAGGAACATTTTGCAGACTCTCGTAGGTCCGATCAATAAATAAAGCTTTGCCGCGGTATACAATCAGCTGATTATCTACAGCACAGACAAAACCACCAGGATTTAACAATTGTGTCTTTTCCACCAAAAACTTTTCAGTCGGCGTATTGTCAAAATCTGGATACATGATGCATCGACTTCTCAACTTATTTATAGCTTTATTTCTTCCAGAAAAATGAATGTTAGTCAATGATAAGAAAATAAGAACATACAAACTGTTCACCAAAACATCTATTTGATTGTGATATTATGTTCTGTTACATTGACCAAAAACTCACTTTTACATCCATTTCTTTATATTTTATTCTTTTCTGGTAAATCACCTCAACATATCGTGAATGCCATTGTAATTTGTTACAATGTTGAGGAAATCAAACAAAAGTTAAAAGTGCAGATATGTTATTTATTTCATGCATTTTGATTAGACGTGGTGGAGTTCATAAAAACAGCCAACCAAATAATAGTAGGGGTTGAA